AGCATGCATACTTTTAGATGCTATGTATATGTATATATATATATATATATATATATATGTGTGTGTGTGTGTATATATTATATATATAAACACCCAGCACGCCCCTGCGGGCGGTTTATCCTTCAAGCTCGGGTCCTCTACCAGAGGCCTGGGAGCTTGAGGGTCCTGCGCAGTATCTTAGCTGTTCCCAGGACTGCGCTCTTCTGGACAGAGATCTCCGATGTTATTCCCGGGATCTGCTGGAGCCACTCGCCTAGCTTGGGAGTCACCGCACCTAGTGCTCCGATTACCACGGGGACCACCGTTACCTTCACCCTCCACATCCTCTCGAGCTCTTCTCTGAGCCCTTGGTATTTCTCCAGCTTCTCGTGTTCCTTCTTCCTGATATTGCTGTCATTCGGAACCGCTACATCGATCACTACGGCCGTCTTCTTCTGTTTGTCTACCACCACTATGTCCGGTTGGTTAGCCACCACCATTTTGTCCGTCTGTATCTGGAAGTCCCACAGGATCTTAGCTCGGTCATTCTCCACCACCCTTGGGGGCATCTCCCATTTTGACCTCGGGACTTCCAGGTTATACTCGGCACAGATGTTCCTGTACACTATGCCGGCCACTTGGTTATGGCGTTCCATGTATGCCTTTCCTGCTAGCATCTTGCACCCTGCTGTTATGTGCTGGATTGTCTCTGGGGCATCTTTACACAGCCTGCACCTGGGGTCTTGCCTGGTGTGATAGACCCCAGCCTCTATGGATCTTGTACTCAGAGCTTGTTCTTGTGCTGCCATGATTAGTGCCTCTGTGCTGTCTTTCAGTCCAGCTTTGTCCAGCCACTGGTAGGATTTCTGGATATCAGCCACCTCCTCTATCTGCCGGTGGTACATACCGTGCAGGGGCCTGTCCTTCCATGATGGTTCCTCGTCTCCCTCCTCTTTCTTGGGTTTCTGCTGCCTGAGGTATTCACTGAGCACTCGGTCAGTTGGGGCCATCTTCCCAATGTATTCTTGGATGTTCGTTGTCTCATCCTGGACTGTGGTGCTGACACTCACCAGTCCCCGGCCCCCTTCCTTCCGCTTAGCGTACAGCCTCAGGGTGCTGGACTTGGGGTGAAACCCTCCATGCATGGTAAGGAGCTTTCTTGTCTTTATGTCAGTGGCTTCTATCTCCTCCTTTGGCCAGCCTATTACCCCAGCAGGGTACCTGATCACGGGCAGGGCGTACGTGTTGATGGCCCGGATCTTGTTCTTACCATTCAGCTGACTCCTCAGGACTTGCCTGACCCTCTGCAGGTACTTGGTGGTTGCAGCCTTTCTAGCGGCCTCTTCATGGTTCCCATTTGCCTGCGGGATCCCCAGGTACTTGTAACTGTCCTCTATGTCTGCAATGTTGCCTTCTGGTAGTTCAATCCCCTCAGTTCTGACTACCTTCCCTCTCTTTGTTACCATCCGACTACACTTCTCCAGTCCGAACGACATTCCAATGTCATTGCTGTATAGCCTGGTAGTGTGGATCAGTGAATCGATGTTCGTTCACTCTTGGCATACAGCTTGATGTCATCCATGTACAGGAGGTGGCTGACAACTGCTCCGTTCCGTAGTCGGTATCCGTAGCCAGTCTTGTTAATGATCTCACTGATTATATATATATATATATATATATAAGTAACAATGTTGTGAACTTCACATGTATCCCAGTCAATTGATAATTTTTTAAAATGTTTTACTTTCACAGTTTGCAAAAACAAGAATTTTTTGCGTCACAGGTTTTCGTCCTGCGATTGCAGCCATTCCCCAACTCTCTGTGAATGATAATCATGGCCATTGATCAGTGGGTTTTGATCAGTGGGTTTTGGTCAGTGGGTTTTGGTCAGTGGTTGTTGATCAATAGTCATGAGAATTTGCATAATTAAGATTAAGGAACTGACCTCCCAGCCCATTTTTCCTCAGTGGCCTGGTTTCAGTCATTATGCAAATGTACTGTTTAAGATTGAAACCTGCAGTGAGCTGAGACTGAACAAGTCACCTGGATGAGTGACGAAACGTTTCTCCCACAAAACGCTACGTCCAGATGAACAGAATCAACTTTTGGAGATTTACTTACACGGATGATTGAGAATGCATCAAGATGCATAACGTGTAATATGCCACAGTGCATACAAGACAAATTCTTTAGCTTTCTTGGCATAGAAAATTAGTTTTTAAAAAAGCAGTTGTCTGAACAAGTGCTTCTCTGTCATGCTTTTTACTTTTGGCAGCAGTTACCTCAGAAATTCTTACTGATGTTTGGAAGAAAGTTAGCTTTCTGTTTGTCTCCCCTCGATCAGTAAACAACACCTATTCGAAGACCGTTCCTCAGAGAAATCTGAAAAGCAATAATGACAAAATTTGGAAAAAAGCGTTGCATCTTCCCACAGGGGAACAGTATATGTGCTGCAGTATGTGCTTCAATGGCCTCTCCATTATAAAAAGTTATCAAATGTGGAGACATGGCAGATTTTCAGCTTTTGATAAATTCTTAGCACAGGCAAAACACATTGTTTTTGTCTAGAAACTTGGCAGTCCTGTGTAGTGTTTTTAAGTGAGTGCATGGATGGACGGTGGTAAAAGGTTATTATATGATTCTGTTGTTTTGCAGTGTTTCACTTCCCAGATCTCCCACTGTTGGTATTTCTGTGGGTACAGTAGGTGTTAAGACATTGCATTCGTTTTCCTTTAAAACTTAAGTCTTAACATTCACTAGTTTACAACACCAACCATCAGCCACCTACAATACAGTCTTTATATGTGATTCAGCTTCCACTCACACCTTGGCTCATTTGACCCTTAATGACACATTATTTATAGTGGACCACATCCTTGACCCCAGTAGGTGTTAAATACTGTCGATCTCAATCAACTATTTCACCTCTCATCAATGAGGCTTCTTCATTTTTGAAATGTCTGTACAGCAAGCTTTTAAAAAACGAGGCCATCTATGATCTGGCAAAAGTAAAGGAAAAAATCCTAACCCATCCTTAACTGTGCTTTTGGGTCGTAGGTGACATTGGAGCTGTTAGGTCAAACTCAACTTAAAGATTATAAGTGTGGAATGCTGAAATGGCATGAATACTATTTTGAGAGATAAACGGACAAAATCAGAGAAATGTTCTTGCGACAGGGTGCACTTGTCACGTCTGTTGTTTTCACCTGCGTCACCTGAGTTTCTTCAGGTATTTGCAGGATTAGAAGGCCGAAAAATTACTGCAGTGTTTCTACAGTAGCCTAAACTTGTGTAATGGCACATATGTGGCTGTAATTTTGGAAATAAAAGCAAAGCTGTAATCAATAATATTACAAAAGATTTTAATGCAAATGTGATAAATTAAAGCCCTTTAACAATCACTGGTGAGAATCCTTTTTATTAAAAAATAATAAATACAGCAATGTGTTGTAGAAAATACAGTAGGTTTCCATACATTATTCTTTCTCATCAGTAGAATGCATCTTAGCTCTTGTAGTAACCTGGTAAGTTAATATAAAATATAGTTTGTTGTTTTAGTCACTGCAGGTTTTTATGCTTTGATTTCCCCAGACACACTGGACAAATGATCATAGTGCTGACATGGTTTTTTCCTCATGTCTTAAACTAAAACAGACAATAAAGGCAGTTTTAGACACTTTATTTAAATCAAAGGGGAAAGTAAACAGTATTGATTCACTGGAGCACGCTGAAAGTTTAAGCTTTGGCCACGAGTGAGATCAACTAGAAAAGAGGAGAGGAGAGTTATTGAACTGGGAAAACAGGAATCCAGGGGTCTCATGTGAGGCAGGCTGTGAGAGTCAACAATCAGGCCTACTTGAGAGGAGTGGTTAGTCCAGCTGGGGAGGAGGTGGCTGATTTGATGAAAGTGTGAGGAGTGCCAGGAGGGCAGGCAGGTAAGCAGGCAGCAAGAGTCTAAGGAGAAACTAAGAAGCAGAAGTTAAGTGGCAGGGAAGAGTGATCTGTCTCAGGAGCCAAAGAAAAGTAATCTGAAACAAGTGTGTTAAAATGCTGAGTATAATGAGCCTATTTACCACTAGATGAGCTGACTGTCATGTGAAGACTGGCACCAGCACAAGTTGTTAGATACAACTGAAGATGATGAAAACAGGTGAGTCAGCTTATTTGTTCTTGTTTCTAATGTCTCTGTAAAGCACTTTGAATCACCTTGTTGTTGAATTGTGCTATACAAATAAACTTGCCTTGCCTTGCCTAGAGCAGCAACCCAGAAAGCACCTTGGAGGAAACTCAACAGAACCCCAACCTGGATTCAGCAGACTAAAACACAGCAGACAATCTGAAAGCCTTTGCCACACTGCACCCTCCTCAACGGTTCAGTTCAGGCGAGGGGACCCCAGACTCCTCCTTTGGACCACACCCCTCCTAGGTACTCGAGAGTCCTGAATGTCTAAAATCTCCCAAAATTAAAATGTCCAGTTTCAAGATTTTCTGGCAATTTCATGATTCGGGCACTGCAGGGTTAATCGTTGTTTTGTTTAACAAATGTGATTGTTTGTCCTTGTTTGTTCGATGGTTTGTGCTTTTTTTCAGTAAAGATGCAGCTGATAGAAATGATAAAAGCAGGATTCAGAATAAAACACTGAACAAGTTGATCAGCATTAAACCGCGACACAACATGATAGCATATATTGCTAAACAGATAAAAAACAATATTAATACATAATATCATGTATCAAAATAAATCCCTTGAAATAAATGAAAAGCGTGTATTGTGGTGATGTCAAGACACATGTCAAAAAAGTATTGCATGAAGCTACAGCAACATCCTAACAGTCTGATAAATGAAACTTGAACTACTTGAATGTGATCTGATTTGCGCCCTGTGGACATTCTGGTGTTTGCTGACAGAGGGAAGCGCCACGCAAAGGTTTCTGCCAACAGAACATCTGTTGGAAAAGGTTCAGTGTGCGATTTAGCAGAGTTACACGTAAAAACATCTGAAAATTGAACACTATTGTGTGGCACTATGTTAAAGGCAGAGACATGAAAATAGTAGCCCCCCATTTTATTTTATACTCAAGGACATTTGCTTTTAGTAAGGCCACTGCAATGTAAGTTTTACTGTTGCATAAGTTCCGCCAGCAGAGGGCGCTCGGTCCTGTACGCATCGGTAGCTGACGCTACACTAGAAGAAGTAGTGTCAGTGGCGAAGAGGCAGCGTACGGCCTGCGCGCCAAAGAGAACTGATTGTCTTATTTTTCTGTTTTTACAGGTAAGCTGGGTGGTTGATAATATAAACAGATGTTATAAAAGTGACAGACAGCAGTGGCGATTAATGATAAATGTCTTGTGTGTGGCGAATGTTAAGCTAAAGAGCTAATTTCCAAGTTGGTCCAGTTGTTAGCCTGTGCCGATCCAAGTGTTAGACTGTACCGAAACTCTGTGAGCTCGGTGCAGGTGTATTTTTGGGTTAAAGCCACAAGATATATATTTTGCACAATAAGAGGAAATGTGAATTGCTTTATGTTTAGTTCATGAAGAGTGAATGCTGTAGAAATATGTTAAGAAAAACATTTATTTGAAAGAGATCTAGTTTATTAAATACAGTTAAGAAGACAGGTTCATAAATAGATTAAAACAGTAGTAAAAACAAGATAAAACTGTAATGAGAGTTCACTATGTTATTCATGTGTATAGTAAAATGTATTTGTGTGATTTAACCAGTTTACAAAGGTGGTGCATGTGAATATGAAACTGTATAAGTTACTTGTATAAAGTAATGTCAGCTACACTAGAAGAAGTAGTGTCAGTGGCGAAGAGGCAGCGTACGGCCTGCGCGCCAAAGAGAACTGATTGTCTTATTTTTCTGTTTTTACAGTTTTCTGTAAAAATAAATATGTTGCACGGGAGATGAGTTGGCCCATCATTTCAACAGTGTAACATATTTTGGCGAGCCAGCCAGGAGGTGGCGCTAGTGAGTCAACACCATCACCAACCACCTTCTTTCCCAAGAGACGAACCTTCAACCAAAAGAAATGGAATCTCTGCAACCTCTGCGTGACGAAGTGAGTGCAGCCTTGTGGCAGTTGGAGAGAGAGCATCTTGTGGATGTCTGCAGGCGACTGAAATGTTCCGGCCTGGACAGCGCAGAGTCTCACAGCAAGACCAAGAGGACACTCATCAGGTTGGCAAGG